TTTATATGTTTAGGTAAGGCGATACAAAAGATACATTTTTGATGCGTCAATAATAGTAATATCAAAATTGTAACTTCTGTATTTGGTGTCTGTCCGCATGCATATAATAGTTATATTCTTGATATATTACATTGTTTTGATTTGTGCTGAGTCAAAAAAAAAAGTTAGCAAGTTTATATAATTGCATTCTGGACACGCAATGCTACGCATTAACCTAGTATAATAAGATTAAATCTATTTGTTGCTAGTAGTGATAGTACCAGAGTGTAATTGACCAATTAGATCATAGTATTATATATAATATAAAAAATATAAAACTTTGATTTTTTTAAAAAATCACTGTTTTCTCGAAATTTTATTTATGAAACCATGTTTTGCATTCTAACAAAAAAAATTTCTTATAAAATTTTACTATATACTACTGTATATCTTATCTAAATCTTAACTATAGCTCTAATACCAACCTTAATAATAATAAATTTTAATATATTATTTTTGTTTTGATTATAATATATTGGTTGATTATGATCCAGTAACTGTTACTGCTAGTAACAAATATATTTTTTCATATAATAAAATATATTTATAATAATATAAACCTATTTTATTTTAGCATCTAGGGCTGTGACAGATATTATGTAATATCTTAGAGGGGGTAGGGGGTAAGCCAAAGTCTTACATTACACATATATAATATATATAAGAGCAAATTTATTTGTAGCAGGGGGCTTCAAATATTATATATCGCCCTTAATATAAATTGCATTACACAGTATATATGTCGATCACACTATCATGTTTAATATTACTAAATTATGTATATATAAATAGTTACAATAACTGTATAACCTATTTGTGTAAATCATCTATATCGTATATCGCACATAGTATACATATCTAAATCACTTGTATCACCATAACACTGCAATACAGTAAACAGTCGTAAAGAAAAAATTCTTTCAAAACGGCCACTTTTCCTATAAACTCACCTAACTCTAATTGAAGTTTACCTTTTCACAACAGGTTCACTAGCAATATTACCCAGAACGTCCCAACCTACATGATGAATAATATCACATTAAGTATTTATTATCTTGCTACATTTAGTGATACTATTTATCACATTGTTTTGGGACGTCTCAAATAATTCGCTAGTTTTTACCTAGTTTTAACTGAAATTACAGATCAGTATAGTATAGATAACCGAAATATACAGTATCAGTATGGGAAGGTATTACGAATATGGTATGGAAGTGTAAAATACTCATGTTAAAATGTGTACCATGCTTCGGTGTTATATATATATTAGGGCTTGGGTTATGAATTATGGCGAGATTTTACACCCATACCAGACCGATCAGATTACTATACCATATAATATTCTGTAATCCCATAATCACGCTTTAACTTAAAAACTTAGTATTAGTGAATATACTTGTGTACAACTGGTTCTAGAAATAATCAATTTGTGAAAAAATTGCTTCACAGAACATGACTAATTTAATTACATCAAATGAAAAACAAGAATCATTTAACAACACTAATAATGCATCAGTTGGTATTTGACTTTATTCCTCATACTATTCATACTAAGTATTCACATTTAAGTACTATACTTAATAAAAGACATGCATCTTAATAATTACATTAGTTGCGCTAATTTTCCTGATTGGGACACTTAGGAGCATAATGTCCTGGTTTATAACACAACCGATATCTACGTATACCTGATACTTCAATTCCTTTCTCTTCGTTACCACTATTTGTGTGTTTCGTATTGCTAGCAGCTGCTTTACTATTTTCTTCAGTAAAACTCTTTAAACGCTTAGTAGTAGGTCTACCTTTACCCTGATATGCAATTGGATCTTGAACATCTGCATTATATATGCGACCATCAACTAGTTTTACAATATTATTGTTATTCGACGCTTGATCTTCAATAATTAATGATTGAGCATTAGCCTCCCACTTTTTTTTCTTTCTTGAAATATAAAACAAAATAAGTTCATTCAAATTCTTTTGATCATTATCTTCTATCGAATAATTTAGAGCCTTTTTGAAATTACCTATAAGTCTGCCGTATTCTACCTTCTTTTGTACATGATGCTGAACCACAATTTCCTGAACGTTGTTAAAATGTTTAGGAATAATTTGTTGTATACTTTTATCCTGAACTTTTAGAGATGACACTCCAATAAATGGTTCTTTAGAGATAAGATTCAAATGTTCCCATGAATCATTTTGAAACCATCTGGTTAGCATCAGCATCACATGAAATAGTGCGTTTTGATTTTCTACCATCAACTTAAAATAGTATCGACAAACAATTTCTCGTGAAACTAGAAGCAAACATGTACACAAATACGTGTTATCATCAAGTAAAATAATATGCTGATATGAGTTTGGTGCCATGTAAAGAATAACTCGTCAGACTTCTTTAATTGTATTAGTCGAAACTGAACTTATTAAGGCCTTTAAATATGTTTGCCGGAAGTCATAATAATCTTCAATGGCTTCGTCTTTATCTATGTTCTAAAGTAAATATAATATATTTATATATCAGTATATAATCAGGTTTCTAAACTCACATAGTTTACAAACATTGGTAAAATTTAAAAATTTGTCATGTTGAATGGCACGATTCGAATGCTACTTAAACTGCCATTCGAACTACTATTCAACACTATCACATGATTTCACAGACATGTCTGCGAAGTCATGTGATAGTGTTGAATGGTAGTTTGAATAGCAGTTTGAGTAGCATTCGAATCGTGCCATTCAACATAGCAAATTTCGGTATAATATTATTTTACTATTTCACTTTCATTGGATTCATCACTATGTTTTTCCCGATTTACTATTTGTTCCTAACAAAAAACAAGTATCCTTTAGTTATACCTGATATGCTACTTCAGACACATGAAATTTATGTAACTTATACATACCAACTGATCCTCATTAAATTCAATAGCAGAATCGATCTCTATTTTTTTACATTGATAAAGAACTAATTCACACATTTGATTTTTAAGTTCTTCAATAATTCGATATGATAAATGGTTTTGAATCAATTCCTTGATGTTACCAAAAAGTCGTTCTATAATAAATAGCTAGTGATATACTAATGATTTGTATTTTCATGTTATAAAACTTGCGTTCAAGGCTTCTCTCTGCATCCGAGAATCAATAGCTTCAACTACATCAGTCATATATGAACTAGAAGAAACTTCTTTGTGAATAAGGGCATTGATTGATTCAACGCATTGCATTGATTGCATTCCTGCAGTAAATATTCTGTTCACAAATGCACAAGCTCAGGATTGTTGAATTGAATAAAGCGTATTATGCAAGTAATCCTGTGCATTAGAATACTTTTCAATTAAAGCTTGAAACTGCTGTTCAAAAACATTAACACTCAATGAATTTCGAGCTTTCTAGAATTCATTAATAAATTCTTTATATTTTACATGACCAAGTTTGGATTTGAGTCTTTTTGGCAAATTTTGTGACAAGTGCCAGATACAATGTATGTAATATGTGTTTTTGTATATGTTTTTACATGCAGCATTCATTGTGGGATCCATATCAGTAATAAAAACATGTGGCTCAGAACTAGTTGCATCCAGTATTTGCTGCAAGACCCACTCATAACTTTCTTGTGTCTCATTATTTAAAAAAACTTGTGCACCAAGACGCGATTTACCTTCATTGTCAACAAGAACAAATAATGATAATGGGTAATTGTATTTATTTGTTCTTGAGGTATTGTCATGCAAAATGACATCAAAATAACGAGACCACAATAAAATTTGGTTTGCTGTCATCCAAAATATGCTACATAACCGATTACTATCTATATTAATTAGTGGTTGCACAAATATCGTAGGTTCTTCTTTCTGTTGGTTGAGAAGAAATTTTAGCAAATAAGAAGCGTCAGACCCTTTAACTTTTTTGTCGCGTTTAATTTTTTGAATTGCATTAGAAAGATCTTGTGTAAGAAATAATTGATCAGGAAATTTTGGTTGAAACAAGTTTCTTATCATATATGCATCACATTGACCATACACCACTGCATGTTCTATTTCAGCCATTATACTTTTATCAAAACGTCTAAATGCTGTGGCAAACCTTTTATTATCGGCATTGATTGAATGATTATGTTCCAGATAAACAAAAGTTATGTACACGTAATGAGTATATTTAGGACTACTCAAATTAATGTGCCATTTACAATCCGTTCTCTTTGAGCCTTTATTACGTTGTTGGGCGATGGGTTTTGATTTCTTAGACTTGTATTTGCCTGCCTTTTCACAAGCCAATGTTCATTTTTTGACTCTACGATTCTTATAGAATTCAACTCTATACCGCTTTGTCGCAAAACCATTTTGTCTTCCATATTCTTTCAAGTAGTATTCCGCAATTTCCCAAGAACTAAACCGAGTTCCAACAGATAGTTCTATAGAAGAGGTTATTAAGGGATACTGCGTAGGGTCAAGTCCTTCCAACCCTGATCCAAGAATAGGTTCTATAGAAATATTTTCTCTTTCTTCTGAGTCTACAACTTTTATTATTCACATTATTATACTACATTAAACCAAATCGCATAATTACAAAACATTGTTCACTATACAAACCAAAGGTATTATTCTCAATTTCGTATTGTTTTTCTTCAACTATTATAAAAAAAAAGTTAAACCAGTCACATAATCACATAATAATAATTACAATGCCATTTACTATACTGACCTAAATTATTATCCTCAGCCTCATATTGCTCTTCAACTATTAAAAAAAAAAAAAAAAAAAAAAAAAAAAAATCAGACTAGTTGTGTAATTGCAACACAATATTCATTACACTAACCTAAATACTTATTCACAATCTCATATCACCCTTCAACTATCAAAATAAAAATGAAAAAAATTAGACTAGTCGCATAATTACAACAAGCCATTCATGTTGATCTAAAATTGTATTTCTCAACATCGGGAAATTTTTTTTACAGAAATTAATCGATATATAGTATTTAATCGATATATATCGTTTGCAAATTAATGATATATATCGATAAACAGGTTTATAATCGATATATATTAAATATCGATGCAAATCGATAATAAGGTAATAATTGAT